CATACCTAAAGACACTCACAAAACAACATTTAAAACCTTTGATGTGAACTACGAGTTTTTGGTGATGCCTTTTGGCTTAACTAATGCTCCTAGTACTTTTCAATCGACAATGAATGATCTGTTATGCCCTTATTTGCGACGGTTTGTCCTTGTTTTTTTTTTATGATATTCTCATTTGCAGTAATTCTTATTCAGATCATTTGCTTCATTTAACTTTAATTTTAGATTTGCTTGCTGCAAACCATTTTGTTGCAAAATGTTCTAAGTGTGTCTTTGCAGTTCCTAAGGTTGAGTATCTAAGTTATGTAATTTCACCAAATGGTATTATCCCTGATCCAGACAAGATTCAGTTAATTGTGGATTGGCCAAAGCCACGTTTGCTCTCGATGCTCAAGGGATTTTTAGGCCTCGCGGGATTTTATAGACGTTTTGTTCATCACTACGCCACACTCGCCGCTCCCCTTGCCGATTTGTTACGTTTCAATCATTTTACATGGAATACTTATGCAGATACTGCTTTTACAACATTGAAGAAAAATGACAGAAACTCAAGTGCTAGCTCTCCCTGACTTCAGTAAGACCTTCATTGTTGAAATAGACGCCTCCACAGTTGTAATAGGTGTTGTTCTCTCTCAATAAGGACATCTTTTGGCTTTCTTCAGCAAGAAAATGTGCCCACGAATGCAAGCATCTTCAGTCTATGTGAGAGAGATGCATGCCATAACAGAATCTGTAAAAAAATGGCGCCAGTACCTAATTGGACAACATTTCCACATTTTTACATATCAGAAAAGTTTGAAGAACCTATTAGTGCAAACAATACAAACACCAGAACAACAAAAATGGGCTGCCAAATTACAAGGGTTCATTTTCGAGTTATTTTACAAACCTGGAAAATCAAATCAAGTCACAGATGTTTTGAGTCATCGCCACACCGAAGATGCATCCATTATGCTAGCAGTTTCAACTCCGATCCCAGACATTATCTCACACCTCAAAAAATTCTACACCAACACTACAGAGGAACAGAATTGTAATACCCAAAATTTAACCTTTAGATTAGTCGGTTCATTTCGCATTTCATCTTATTTTGCATTGTATTGTAAACTAACCGCTAACCAGTTTGCTCAGTCTGTTGGTTTTACAGGAAAAATCACATTGTGCGCTCTTTAGCTTATGAAGGGCAAAATGGTCATTAATTTGCAGTCAGCTGACAATTTAGGAAGCGAAGTCGTCAGCAGGAACCCCTCGAACAATTAAGGTTTTAATCTCCAAGTCGTGCAATGCTTAGTTGAGAAAATGGCGACTTCATTGGGGACATCCTATCTTTTGATGGTTACCCCTATCTTGTTTTCGTGTTTGCTTTTTGCTTATTATTTGCTTATACATATATATCTGTTGTGCCTTGCTTGGGGTATCTTTATTGTGAGATAAGTCCTACACCCGGACTTGAGTGAACTTATTATAGGAAGGTGATATATTCGACGAGGCTTAAGGAGTGACTCCCGACCAACCTGACTTGAGAATCAGCGCTCAATTGAGACCCTCTTGGAAATTAGTTCTGTTGAACGAGTATTCGTGAAAACACTTACTATTTTCGATTAGAGCCTGTGATATTGGGGACCGTAGTTACCCTTAACCATACTTTGGCCTTATCTAGGATGTAGTGCGAGGACTATAAGGGAGTATTCCCAAAATAGTTGCTACGCGATTTTCTCAACTAAGCATTGCACGACTCGGAGATTGAAACCTTAATCGTTCGAGGGGTTCCTGATGACGACTTTGCTTCCTAAATTGTCAACTGACTGCAAATTAATGACCATTTTTTCCTTCATAAGCTAAAGAGCGCACAGTGTGATTTTTCTTGTAAAACCAACAGACTGAGCAAACTGGTTAGCGGTTAGTTTACAATGCAATGCAAAATGAGATGAAATGCGAAATGAATCGACTAATCTAAGGGTAAAATTTGGGGTATTACAAGAATCTAGTTACAAGAAGTCAAAGTGATCCAAAAATGCAATTGGTTTATCGCTTCACAAATGAACTATTGTATTACAATGAAAGGATTTACTTACCCGATGCAAGGATTTTCGCAAGAGCATCCTCCATGAGTATCACTGCTCCCCTACCTCAGATCATTCTGGCATTCAACCCACCTTAGCTCGTATCTCATCCACCTTCCTCTGGCCTGGTCTATATAGAGATGTCAAGAACTTTGTGCAAGCCTACATCACCTATCAACAAAACAAATACATGCCAGGAAAAAAAAGGATCATTACAACCTTTAGAAATACCTCAGCAGGTTTGGGAAGACTTATCAATGGACTTTGTTACTCACCTTCCCAAATCGTTCGACCACACTGTAATCTGGGTCATATGCGACCGATTGTCCAAGTTTGTCCACTTTGTTGCCTTACCAACTCATTTTGCAGCTCAAGATTTAGCTCGTCGTTTTTCATTTGAGATTTTTCGCTTGCATGGTGTACTATGGTCTATCGTCTGCGATAGGGATCCACTTTTCTTGAGTGCGTTTTGGAAAGAACTTTTTCGGGTACAAGGAACCTCCCTGAAATATAGTACGACTTATCACCCAGAAATCGACGGACAAACAAAAGTGGTTAATAGAGGTTTAGAAACATACCTTCGGTGTTTTACGAGCAATAACCCGCGCCATTGGTTTAAGTACCTTCGTATGGACGAGTATTAGCATAACTCCTTCCATTCATCTATCAAAATGACTCCCTTTGAGGCTTTATATGGATGGTCACCGCCGACGGCCAAGGATTACGTCAAAGGTCAAGAAAATATCACTTCACTTGATTCATCCTTGCACAACAGACAAATCGTACTCAACAACTTGAAATAAAATCTAGTTCGCAGTCAGAAAATAATGCAAGAACAAGCCAATAAGAAACGCAGACATTGTACCTTCAATGTTGGCGACCTCGTTTGGCTTCGCCTATAGCCATATCGTCAAACTTCTGTACATCGACGATCGTCTCAAAAATTTCCAAAAGGTATTTCAGACTATTTCACGTTCTGCGTCGTATCGGACCCATAGCATACGAACTGCAACTTCCAAGCTCATCTCGTATCCACCCCGTATTCCACGTTTCTCAGTTGAGAGCCTACCATGGTAGCGAACCACATAATGAAATGGTTCCCATTCCTGAAAACATTCGCGGTAATGAGTTTTTGGAGGACGAATTCTTAGATGTTCTACTTAAGGGGTCCGACGTTTTGAAGTTACAAAAAGACCCATATCAGAGGAAGCAATTAGAGATAGAAGGAAGTGAAGTGAAGAAAAAGATTTTGGAATTAGAGGGAAGACAAAAGGGTTTGGACTTAGAAGGAAGTGTAACTAAAACCAAAATGTTCGGCACCCTTACTTATGAGAACACGGATGCCAACTCTAAAAGCACTATTCCATCAAACTCATCCTCACCGTTAGATCCCACTACCGCTCCATGCATTAAATCAGAGCCCTTAATACGACTTAGAACTTTCCCCACTTCACACTATCCAAGTCTGACCACAAACCCACTTGCCTCACACTTCTCCACTTCCACTTCGGTTACTGCACCACAGTTGTCCCCCACTTCCTCAAAACCCACCCAACACCGCCCCTGGTTTTTCAAAACCACCCTCACCCATTAATGCTTGTCATTCAACACCAAAAACCTTGGCACCCTTTTCACCGTCCCAACGGGCAGATCTTATTGTCACATCACAAGACACGCGTGCTTCCACACCTTATCCTATTCAAATTGCAGACTTGACTCCACCTTTAATGCACATTGCCCCAGAATTACTTTCTCAGTCTGCCCATGTGATACCTACCGTTAATCCCTCCTTTCCCCTTTCAATTCCAAACTCCCCCACATTCTCTTATTGGGGCGAATCAAGCTGACAAAGGTCCCTCTTTTGTTACACGAAACATTGAGGACAAAGTTTTAAGTGGGTTGGGTAGTAGTATTAGGATGTTAAACAGGCCCACCAGATTGACCAAGAAGCCCATTTGGTAGCATGACTTTATCATGCATTAAGAATGTTTTTTTATATATAATTTCATGTTTTTGTTATCTTTTATTATATTGGGCTTCTGACCCAAAATTGTAGTCCCTTTAATCCATTGTATTTAAGTTCTTGCTTTGGAATTATGGAAAAATTCAGCATTTTTATTTTATCTTAGTTGTCTTCTTAGTAAACCCTAATCTCTTAGTAGTAGTAGAACCCACCATCACCTTGTCAAATCTTAATAATTTTCCCAATCACAATCGAACTCTTGATGCCAATTTGTTAAAGTTGTGAAAATATTATGATATTGCATTGTTTGTACTCGATGTTACAAATATTCGCATACACTCCACATGTAACTCTTTCTGTTATAAGTTTTAACTCCTGATATATCTATTACTAATTTTGTTATAAGGCATAACTGAATTAATCATAGTAAAACAAGTAACAGCTAACTCCCTGTATATAGATACAAGCTATAGTACAACATTGTCTTTAACAATATTATAAATGAGTAATTCTCACTACTAAAGAACACTATTCATCACAGATGAATAAAATAGTTACAGAACAGACATCTAAAACTTATAGCATATTCACATCTCTACCTCAACCATGAACCAAGCTATACTTATGCGCTACACCAGGGACAGATTGATGGTTATATTCTACTCTGCACACTTTTAAGTTGATCTGATGAATAACTCGTCAATAATTCAGCTTATAAAACATTCATCTAGCCTTCTTTTAGGAAACATATCTAGAGATACACCGATTTTTTTTGTTAAACAGGGCACAAATTATAAGTTAAGACATTAGATGCAGGAAGACCACTACAATCAGGACCAATATGCATAGATAGTTGCTCGGTCAAATCCAACTTTCCTTGGCCTTCTGTTTTAGGCAATTTTTCTTGACTTCACCCGTATGATGCATGGCCAAAGTAATGTTACTTCTTGCTCATAAATAATACAAGATTTAGCTCAATTTGATGGCAAAGCTCGCCAACTATTAGCTAGATGCATGGCATGATTTTGTGAAGCAGCAGAAAGGCGGTGAACAATTACATTCTTTACATGATTGGCACCCTTTTCACCAGAACGGCTAGCAAGTTCCAAGTACACCAAAGCCTTTATCATGTCTCCATCCTGTACAGATATAGTTTAATAGCTCATTTAGAAAGACATTATAATCTAACATTGAATAGTGAATATTCAGAACTAGGGCTGTTAAAAAAACTGAAAAACCTACATGAACTGTGAACTGAACCACACTTAAATGAACCAAACCATTTCTTTGGGTTCAAGAACCAAAACTGTGATTTACAAACAGTTGGCTAACCAGAACCAAACCTAAATAACTGAACCTAAACTGCAATAACCGAACTGTCCAAACACAACTTAATTTCAAGTTCATTTTCAAATACAATCTCATTATACAAGGCGACCTAAAAACTTGCGAACCTTAAAATTGAGTCCACTTCAGCTTCCTATCTTAAGTTCGTGGTCTCATTTTAGTTTGGATCTGGTTTGTGTTCTATTAATTTACAGTAGAAATCCTGTGAGATTAGGTTTGTGACTTCATTCTTTGTTCACTACCACCTCATTTCTTCATTTTAGAAGAGATCTTTTTTCTTAGATCTACTTTGTTTCTTACTTTATGCAACTATTTGTGGTTCAATTGGATGTTGTGTGTGGATTTTGGAATAAAATCAAATAATTATGCACCAAATATAATTAATCAACTACAAAATTTTCTTCTTTAATAATTATATCTAAATTGAGCTTTAGGCGAGGCGCATCTGAAGAATATGCAGAAAATTGTTTTAGAAATAGAAAATAGAAGAAACAATTAAAAGGAAAACAGTTGTGAATTCTTTTTGGGAGGGAAATGATAGATCAAAAAAGAAGAAATGAGGTAGGTTGTGATCTCATTCTTCAGTTGGTGACCTCATTCTTCTGTTCAGATATGTTTTTGGTTTTGTTTGGGTAGAAAATACAGAACCGGCTCACCGAACTGTTATGACAATTTTGTTCGGTTCAGGACAAATAGTTGATGGTTTGGTTTGGTTCAGTTTTTCTGAACTATTGTGGTAGTTTGGTTCAATTCGGTTCAGTTTTCCCCTGAGCAAAACCATGAACAGGCCTAATTATAACATTTTAGTTGTTAATAGTCATTGCCAATTTACCATAACGGTTTGGTTCACTTTTTTCGAACTGTTGTGGCAGTTCAGTTCAATTCGGTTTAGTTTTCTCCCTGAATCAAGCCATGAACAGATCGTATTAGAGCATTTTAGTTGTTATTCATTGCCAATTTACCATAACTTTTAGTTATTGCTAACAGCTATTCCAATAATATAAACTGATTCCAGATAAGATTGTCAGAACAAATTCAACCAATAGCAAATATGCGGAAACTCATAGCAAAACATGGAACATCAGATGTCGTTAAGAAATATTACCTAAAATAAATAAGCAAAAGTTAAAATAAAATTTTGCACGAGTCAGTGCGTATGCCTATATCTATTGAAAAGTAGCTTAACCGAGATCAGGAACATAGAGCTCAATGTAAACAAAAAACATACCAAAATAGATGAGAAAAGTCATACAAAAAATGTATCTAATGACTGACTACAGTTTACAATTAACAAGCTTAAAAAACAAAGTGTGGCAAGATTATATATTTAAAAAAGGTGCCATGATGGCCAGTTTTCATAATGCAAGAAAAGTTAATGGAGACATTACTGCTTCACTGATTTTGCGGCACATACTAAAAGTATAGGTATAGCAAACAGGGATAAATACTTACAGAATAAAGAGCAAGTCCATGCTCAAATTGAGCTTTACTATGACCACGATCGGCAGCCCGCTTCATCCACTTTCTTGCTATTCGATGATTGCGCGTCAGTCCTTCCCCTAAAGAGTAGCATAAGGATGTATTGTACATAGCACGCACATACCCACCTTCTGCAGCTTTCGTATACCACTTAACCTATTCCAAGGGAAAACTTGTTAAAAGCAAAAATAGGAATATAATATTACAATAATAAAAAACAAAATATATGCAATATTATAAGTCAATTTTCAAACATAGGTCCATGCAGATTTCCCAATCCCTCCCTGATTATTCATAATTAAAAATTGTAGTAGAGGAAATGAATAGAGATAGAGCACCAACAGCTTCTCTTATATTGCTTCTACTTCCACCATCACGGTGAAGACAAAGCGCAAGCTGGTATTGTGCACGAACATTCCCACCTTTGGAAGCTTTATATAACCATTTCAAAGCTTGCTCAGTGTTAGGAGGTTCAACTACATAGCATAGATATACCTTTGTCAGACATGAATTATCATTGAAATTTCCTCTGTCATTCTAAAGATACACTAAAACTGATCAAAACTCACAAATGATATGCATACAGCAATATAAATGTAACAGAATGTCCTATATATCATTTCATAATAGCACACAGAAGAACTTATGTGGAAGCTTGTTGCAACAAAGAGCAAAATTTGCTACAAAAAATGAAAATTTGTGGAAGTGAAAACCTTGAAGATACGAAATCCCCAAATTACACTGTGCAGAAGGGTTTCCAAGTTGAGCAGCCATGAGATACAAATCAAGAGCCTTAATCTTCTCTCCTCTCTCCCAATAAATAAGACCAGCATCCACCATGGCAAGAGCGGAGCCACGAGCCGCGGCTTTCGTGAACATATCAAGCGCCTTCTCCGTATTCCGGCAAACTCCTCGCTTTCCGTGTTTGAACCGTTTCCCCCACATAAGCATCACCATCGCCTCCCTTAACGGCCGTAACGCCTCCGACCATGACCGACATACCAGCGACGCCGCTTGGAGATTCGGCTGGTCGAAGGAGGCTGCGATTTTCGTCAGAACGTCGTACGGGAGGGAGGAGAAATCGGTTTCTTCGGCGGTGGATGAAGAAGGTTTAGACGGCGGTGGACGGGAACAGAGACGAACGGAACGGGAGGAATATGCAGCGGATGATTCGGAAGCTGTTAGGTTTGGGAGAGGGAGAGAGGTGAAGCGAGAGGAAGAGGAGATACACGGCCATGTTTGGTGGTTCTTCATCGGTGGTGGTGAGTGTGTAGTGGTTGAAGACTTGAAGGAACGGTTGAGACTTTTGAGATGGATGGATGCTAATTCGATTCTCAAAGTTATTCTTTTCCTTTCGTTTTACACACACGGTTTCATTTTAGATATTAATTAAAAACAGAAATTATTATAGCTTTCAACTACTATACTAGTACTAGTACTTCATTAGTCACTTTCAAACTATTCTTAACTAGTGTCTGGAAGTTCGGGCAGAGTGTCCATCTGTCAGTTTTCTTTAATACATATGTAAAAATTTAAATGATATTTTTTATCTAATATTAATTTTAAATAAAAATTATATAAAAAATTAGGTAGAAAATTATCTAAGAAGTTATGTAGAAAATTAATGAAAGTTATTGAATAAATTATACATTAAAAGTAACGGTAAAATTGATAGAAAAATAGCCTATACAAAAACACCATGTTTTTTCTTTATATATGTTATAGATTATAGATTAATAAACATGTAATTTTAGAGAAGAAAAAAAAACTTTCACATTTAAAAATAAAATAGATATTATCTTGAAAATTAGTGATACATGAAATAGAAAGTTAGTGGTGTGTATTATTATTGAGTGATATTAAATTTGGTTCAATATAAAATATTTGTAGATACACATGTCAATTTATAATGTGTTAAATGAATAATGATTATATAAACTCAATTGTATTAAATAATCATATAAAAAAGAGAGATCTGAGATGGAGAAGAAAAAATTTCACGTTTGAAAATAAAAAATTTGCCTCTCAAATAATAACAGTTGTTGATTAAAATAAAATAGATATTATCTTGATAGTAACTCTTAAAATGAAATATTAATTGCGTACATTGTTATTGAGTGCTATCTAATTTGATATAGTATAAAATTTATTTAGATACACATATATATTTCAAATGAATACTTAATTATAAAATGAACAATAATCAAATAAATTATGAATATTTTTTATATAATAATTATAAAATAATTATATTTTTTATTTTATATAAATTTTGTGTTTTAAAATTTTATTACTTTTCTGTGTTTTCTTCATTAAATTAAAATGAGATTCAAATTTTATTATTTTTACAACAAAAAAAAAATGGAAAAAGAAAATGAAGAGAAATAAATTAAAATAGAATTGAGAAATTGTGAGAAAAAAAAATATGGAGATAATTTAAAATTTGAATTAAGAGAAAAAAAAAAGAATGAGAAAATTAAAAATAAAAAGTAGAAAATGAATGAGATGGTAAAAGAATGTAGTTCAATTTTATAGCATTTGTGAATTACAAATATATCATTTTGTTAGTACAATTTTTTAAAAAGAAAAGGATATATTAGGAAGTTTAGTGGTAGTTTATTTTAATGAATAAATTGTTAGTACAAAATTTTAAAAAGAAAATGATATATTAAAAAGTTTAGTGGTAGTGTATTTTAATGAATAAATAGTTAATTTACACAAGTGTTTTAAGTTTGTCTTTTTAAGTTTTGGACTAATAGATATATTTCAAATTATCAATCTTCGATATACATCACAACGAAATCTATTAGAAATTAAAATTTATCAATTTTAATTAAAACATCTTTGGCTATTTTAGATGTGTTGCACCCCAAATTTGTCCTACATTTACATGGTTTCTAGTGCCACTTTATTTCGAATAAATAAAATAGCACAATTGGCAAGAGACTGTGTGTGAAGAGTTGTGAGTGTGAGAGGTTAAGAGTTTGAATCCCACCTTCTTCACTTTTTGTTTTTTCTTTTATTTTTATTCTAACTTTTTATTTAATTATTATTTTCGTATTTTATTTAAATTATTTTTTAAAAAATATTATTTTTTCACTTTTTTTCATATTATTCATAAAAACATGAGTTGCATTTGAGAAAGAGGGAGAAGGACACAAAAGAAAAAACGGCGGCCGTTACAAATCAATTTCCAGCCTGTTTCAATCCCTTCCAAGCATTCCAACACGTTCCTTGAAGGTTTCTAATTCAATTCCAATACTCACATGAGCCTTAAGCACTCCAAAATCACGAGATCACCATCAACGGTGATATGGCAACGTTTGAAAACCGTGGGCAAAGGAGTACGGCAACGCGTGAAAAGCGTGGGAAAAGGCGTACGGAAACGCGTGAAAATCGTGGGCAAAAGCATGGTCAATGCGCGTTTTCAGGTTTGAATGTTTTGTTTTATAATATTTATTTTATATATTTTTAATAATTAATTAGTGTAGCTCAGCTAGTAAGGGAGGAGAGCATGAAAACCAGAAGTCTTGGGTTTGATTCTTGCCTCTTGCACTTTTTTGTTTCCCTTTTCTTTTTCTAATCTTATTTCATATTGTTTGCATTTTTATTTTTTACTTTTAATTGATGTTATCCTTTCCTTTCTATTTGTTAAAAAAAAGTTTATTAATTCCCTTTTAAAAAAAAATTAAATAATTATTTTTAATTAATATTAGGTTAAATTTCTTTTATTTAAGCTAACTTTTTTTTTCTCTTTTAAATTTAAAAGTTAAAATATCTTTTAAAATTAAAACTAATTTTTCTTTTAATAAGAATAAAATTTCCTTTTAAAATTAAGACCAAAATCTTTTTCAAAATTAACCTAAAAACATTTTCTTTAAAAATTCAAATTAACATTTTCAAAATTTAACTAAACTTCTTTTTAAATCAAGAATAAAATTCTTTGTTTAAATAATACTAATGTTAAATAAAACAATAATAAAAGTTCCCAAATTGCATTTTTGCCCTTCTTTACGTATTAATTGTTTCATTATTTGCCATATTTCCGTCTAACTCTTGTTCTCTGTTTTCTCCCCAGATTATATTTAAATTCCGATTAATATTTATTCAGTTTATTTTGTTCCATGGATGTAATTTACGCGAGGCCATGGTCGCGGTTTTATTTTATCTTTCTTTTTTGGGGATTTGTAATTTACGCGAGTGATCGTCGCGACGCTTTCTTTACTTTCCGCATTTTAATTTCTGCCATATAATAATTTGCCATGTTTTGCATGATTTACCGTTATATTCACCTCCGAAGAAATTAGGTTTAGCCGTTTGACCGTCGAGTCAATAACCCAAATTTTTGACCGTTTCAAACCCTAATAGTTTAAGCGTCCCGCCGTGGACGAAAACGCCCTTTACCCTAGCTTTTAGGTCAAAGAGTCGTTGTGCTCTGCTTTAGGGTTTCCCGCTGTGGAATCCCTAATTTCAACCCTAAATTTTCAATTAACAAATTCAACATAGAAATAGGAGTTTCAAAGACTCCACGTAAGCGTGTCCTTAAGAGATGTTTATTCCCCATTGAAACCTTGACCACAATCAAGAAGTTTCTAACTTCCCTTTCGAGGGGAACTATAATTACTCTGATTCCATTCCCGTCAGGATATGTAGGCACAAGATGCGACGTCTTGCCGAGTAAACTTAGGACTAACCCTTAGGTCTTTAGGTCACTCTATCCCTTTAGCAATATATTTCAAACAGATAATAAAATAAAAAAACATACAATAAACAAAAGGTTCCTGTAGAGTACTACAGAAGTTTAGGGTGCTAATACCTTCCCTAAGCTTAATCAACCCCTTACCTAGGTCTCTCCCCGCATTGTCTTTACGATGCAAAATTAGGTTTTCCTCTTTTGACCTTTTCCTTCGGATAAATCAAAGAGCGGTTGTGAACCAAAGATGCGATTCAAATTAATTAATAATTTGATATCATATTCTAACCGCAACAGAAAATGGCGACTTCACTGGGGAGATGCGATAATTTTTAAGGGTTGCCCCTATTTTGCTTTTTGTATGATATTTTATATTATTAATTATCTGTATATATTATTGTACCTATCCTGAGATATCTGTTGTTGTGAGATAAGTCCTAACCCGGACTTGAGTGACCTTATTATAGGAAGGTGAGATATTCGACGAGGCTTGCCGGGAGTGAGTCCCGACCAAGTCGACTCGAGAATCACCGCTCAGTTGAGACCCTTTCGAAAATGGTTCGGTTGATCGAGTGCAGTCGTGAAAACTTTTACTATTTTCAATTGGAGTCTGTGATACTGGGGACCGTAGTACCTTAACACCACCTTGGCCTTATATAGGACGTAGTGCGGGAACTATGTGGGAGTATTCCTACAATAGTTGCTACGCGATACTACACTCAAAAGAGATTCTCTTGAGAATATTATCGACCTCCGAGTCAATTGGAAAGTTGATAATATCCGAAGGATGGACTGATGACTTTGGGCACCTCTTTAGAACCTTGTTCTGCAGGTACAACTACCCCATAATACATACCTTTGGGGAAGGGTAGACCTTAACTTCATTCATTGTTCCTATAACCTAGGACTTTGTTGTTTATGTGTATTTGTGCATGGCATTCATAAAACATCATTCCTAGTTTCAAGGAATTCAACAGTCCTTTGCGAATTCAAAAGTCCTATATTTCAAAGTTTAAAACCGTTTCCAACTTTCCTAAAAAAGAAATGTTTGCAATCGACCGTTGAAGTTCTTGAAACTATTGCATTGCATTAGCATCATGTCTTGCATGGCATCTTTCCCCGGGTTTCTCATGTCTAGTTGTCTTTATCTTCCAGTGTTCCGTTGAGTCGCAAGCTGATTCCTCAACACAGATATCAGACTAGAGCTAACTATAGACGCCAAATGTCAGAACAAGAGGAACATAATGCGGAGGTCCGAATGGAGATCGATGAGTTGAAAGCAGGCATGACCAGGCTTACCGAGATGCTTCAAGTGTTGATTGCCAAAGGAGAGCCACCTCAGAGGACTGTCATTCAAGAAGTTTCAAGTGTTGATCCACCTCTTGTTTCAGTGCCGCCCTCTAGTTGGCCTGAGTTTGGTTTACCTCCTAACTACTCTCCACCTGTTGCATCTGCTGCTACGATTGGTCAGACTGTCAGACCGGTTTTTCAAGCTCCTGTCCTTACCGAGGCCCAACCTGTGGTCCACACGGTTAACTAGACTGTCTAAGCTCCCTTTGAG